GTTTCACATTACAAAGAGGCCATATTTTTTGCAGGGCATCATGGAGCAAAGTCAACACCTTCTGTCCACGTTGATGATTGATGTACAAAAGACTGTACATACTTACAGGGGAATATTTTCTATAAATAATGGTTTCCAAATGCGCTCCGAGGTTGTGGCATTGCAGGTAAACAATGAAGGACAGATCATAACTGCAAGACAAGAATGTAGCACGTCTTGCATGAAGTAGATCGTGAAATTGAAAAAGTACTTGTAGTGGTGCACTATACTGTAAATTGTCCTATTAAAAACAGCCTGTTCAAATCGAGGAACCCAAGGTCTCCAATGGAAAAGCTATATCTGAGTTTTGAAATCCTCCTTCAACATCCCACCGTACTCACTATCATAAAGTCATCTACATGTACAATAATCAAATACTTGAGTTCTCTGTAAAGCATACTTCAGAAGCTTCGACTTACATTTTGATCCGAATTTAACTGATTGAAATCAGAAACCGATATGAAAGTTCTTTAAATTTTTTCGGCTTTAAATTTGGCTGCTGCTGGTGAGCTTTACACAAAACGCATGATGCAGAGTAATACCACATAAACACTTCATTAAAATCACTCAATTTGCAGCTTTTTAAAGTGATATGTGGGGTGTTTCATACTGTTAAATTGAAAGGCATATAGGATCATTTGCATTTATCCCCAAAGTAAACTACCCAACTTATAATCGAAAAGCTTATTGGATTAAAGATCGTATGGTACTAAACACCCCGTGAATAGTTTGTCTGGCTTGTGTCATTTAGAAGAAATCAAGAAATGTAGGTGATCCCAACGATCAGTCAACTGACTGATTTTGGAAATAAAGAGTGCTATTGACAAAATCTTGTTTTGTGATCAAAAGGTCGTGCATGTTTTTTCACTGTTTTCTTGAAAAGTGTAATATCCACTGAGCTGAAACTACAACAGTTAGGTTTTGAACATTCTTCTTTGGATTCTGAGTGGTGCTATTATTGGAAACGAACATAATGCACGAAAAGCAAATGATCCTGTATGCTAAACTGACTGTACTTGCTCAACGACACATAAATAAGGTTCAAACAATGAGAACAAGAGTTATAATCAAGTAATCACAAATTATCACAAGCCTGACAGTCACAAGTCATCCAGTTTATACAACACCTGAATAAATCCCCGTCATCTGATTGGTGGATCGTCGATCACATGTCATTGAATTATTCGTACCAATGCACGCGCGCGCGTGGCGCGCAGCGCACAGTGCAATGGAAGTACTATTGCACTGTGATTAGAAGTACCATTGCACTGTCACTACACATGTTGCCGAAGGTGGCGCTGTGGTGTTTAAATTGGCAATAAAAGTTCTGAACTTATTGAACTGTTTAAGTTCTAAACTTATGGAAAAGTTTTAAATTGAGATAAATTGAATATGATAGTTCTCAACGTGTTGAACAGTTTGCATAAATTAAATATGATAACTCTGAACTTGTCAACTTATTGTAAACAATTTTTAACTTGAATAAATTGGCTATTAAAAGTCAACTAATCAGATGACGAGGATTTATTCAGGTGTTATATGAAAGAAATAATGAATGTTTCACGTTCGTGCAATAAAAAGAATAATTCATGAGGTGACAGATGAAATGTTCCATTCCACTCGGCTCCGCCTCGTGGAATGGAACATTTCATCTGTCACCTCATGAAATTATTCTTACCATTGCACTCACAAACATTCATTATTTGTATATTATGTCAAGTTGTAAACTATAAAAAGGAACTGTGAAGTCATTGCTTGTTTCTTGTGAAATCACTTGTGATTGACTTGATTTCAACTCTGATGAAAATATAGGAATAAAACTGAGACTTGCGTGTAAGTAGTGTAACTATTTTTTTTTACGCCATGGCTATAGTTACGGCAGTCGACCGTCTGGTTCCCAGACCTGACAATTCTCAACATCAGGCTCTTTTGGGGTCGGAACCAGACTATCAACAAATGGTTCTCAGACTTTATTCCCCTTTAAAACGAATCCTCCAAACCCATGGATCACTAAGAAAAAAAAAATGAATCTACTTCAATAAAAAGTAGGATTTGATTTAAAACATGAGGGTAAAGAAAGCCATTAAAACAAAAAGAAAACAAAAATAAATGTATGAAAACAGCAGATGCAATCCTGGTACTTTTGGCCTGGTGGTCCAACATTCGAGCTACCGAAGCACTCTGGTTGGATGTACGGTGTTGCATGTGATAAAATAAATTCAAGATGGTTTTTTGCAATGCCGTAACTATAGCTGTTGAATATTGCATTACGGCTACCGTAATAATAGCAACTACATTTTTTATTTTAACTTTTGTAACTTCTCTTTGGCAATAATAAAGTGTTTAAAGTGGATGTTCCTTTTAAAGCCAGTAAACCATTATGATCCCAGTAAATGTTATGTCAATTTTTGCATGCTGTGTTTTTGCTATTTAACTTGTAGTGAAA